GCGGCGACGGCGACATCACAGCCGCCACACCGACAATCAGGCCCAGTTCCTTCGAAAAGCGGTAAGAACCCCTAAGTGCAAGCACTGTTTGGGGTGTGTGTATATATATATATATATATACAAACCCCAAACAGTGTCTGCGTTTAGGCTGTCGGTCCAGCCAGCTTGTTGTCGCCGTCGCCGCCGTCCGTCGCCGTTGCCTCTGGGCCTGGTTGTCTGTCGCTGCGTTTGTTGTCGCCCGTCGCCGCTGTCCGTCGCCGCTGCTTCTGAGCCTGGCTGTCGGTCGCTGCGTCTGTTGTCGCCGTCGCCGCCCGTCGCCGCCGCCTCGCCGCTGCATGTGGTCGCAAGTTTGATGTTGCGAGCCTCTTAGAGTGCACCTCGTTCAGTGCACCACATATACTGCGCCGCAAAATTTGCGCCAGAAAGATTGCATCATATAGATTCGCACCAAATCGATTCTCCTTTTTAAAAAGAGCATAGACTCTACCCCCCCCCCCCCGACTTATCAGCTCCCCTGGGATAGTATAATTTCATATATATATATATATATATATATATATATATATTATGCACACTCGCCCATCCTAAATATGAAATCGTACCATCCCAGGCAGGCCGGTTTCCCCCCCCTGAGGGTCCCTTGTAAAAAATAGTATGCGGTGACACGTTTTGTTCTAACATAACACTTGTTCACGAATCCCTTGCAAAAAACGAGACGAAGTGCACACGCGCGCGTCGTCGCGCGCGCATGCCGAAATCCTTCAAAAACCTTCGGCGCCGGAAGGATCTCGCAATCGAGTTTCCAAAAAACATACAAAAACACATGGTTTCGCAACACTGGTTTGCTAAAAAAGCTTCCGCGCGAGCTCTTGCGAAATCTTAAGAAAACCATAGGTTTCTCAAGATTTTCACAAAATGCTACCAAACGGGCTTCGCGCGCGCGCATGTCGAAATCTGTCGAACGCCCTTGCGCGTGTGCCGTCGCGAGAATCCTCTGCAAAAAATGGGACGAAGTGTTCAAAACCCATCGGTTTCGGAAGGATTTCGAAATCGCGCGTCCAAAAAACCTACAAAAACCCAAGGTTTCGCAACACAGATTTTCAACAAAAGCGTGCGCGCGCGCTCTTGCGTCGTCGTCGTCGTCGTCGCCGTCCTCCCTCCTCCCGCGTCGTTGTCGTCGTCGTCGTCGCCTACGTCGTCCTCTGTCTTTCCTCGTGTTCGTCGTCGTCGTCCTCTTTGGCGTCGTGGTCGTTTCCGTCGTCGTTGTCGCCGTGGTCGTCCTTCCTCCTCCTCCCTCGTCGTCGTCGTCGTCCGTCGTCGGCGTCTCGTCGTCGTCCCTCCTATTTCGTCGCCGTCGTCGTCGTCGTCGTTGTCGTCGTCGTCGTCTTCCCTCGTCCCTCGTCGTTGCCGTCGTCGGCGTCGCCGTCCTTCCTCCTTCTTCGTCGTTCGCGTCGTCGCCGTCCTCCCTCCTCCCTCGTCGTTGTCGTCGTTGTCGCCGTTGTCGCCGTCGTCGTCCTCCCTCCTCCCTCGTCGTCGTCTTCGTTGGCGACGTCGTCGTCGTCTTCGTCGTCGTCGTCGGCGTCGGCGTCGTCGTCGTCGTCGTCGTTGTCGGCGTCGTCGTCGTCGCCGCCGTCGTCGTCGTCGTCGTCGTCGGGTCGTCGTTGACGTCGTCGTCGTCAGCGTCGTCGTGTCGTCGTGTCGTCGGCGTCGTCATCGTCGTCGTCGTTGTCGGCGTCGGCGTCGTCGTCGTCGTCGGTGTCGTCGTCGTCGTCGTCGTTGTCGGCGTCGTCGAAGTCGTTGGAGACGTCGTCGGTGTCGTCGTAGTCGTTGTCGGCGGCGTCGTCGTCGTCGTTGTCGCTGTCGTCGTCGGCGTCGCTGTCGTTGGCAAGTGCCATTTGGTACCCACCGTCACGGTCTTAAGAGATTTTGCGAACCAAGTTGCGGGTGGGTGGGTGGGATGTTTGCGCGAGCAGTGGAGTGGTCAAGCGCGGTGCAGGGTAGTCAGTTGCACCACATAGATTGCACCACCTAGTCTGTACCACAAAGATTGCACCACGTAGGTCGACACACATAAACTGCACCACTTACATTGCACCACATAGCGTACATCACATAGAGTGCACCACATAGATAGCAAAACAGATTTTGTGTAACATACAGCGCGAGACATATCTCACACTACACAGGTCCCCCCCCCCCCGGACTTATCAGCTCCCCCTGGGATAGTATAATTATATATATATGTGTATTCTGCACACTCGCCCATCCTAAATATGAAATCATACCATCCCAGGCAGGCCGGTTTCCCCCCCCCTGAGGTCCTTTTAAAAAAACACTATGCGGTGACATTTGTTGTTCTAACATAACACTTGTTCACGAATCCCTTGCAAAACATGGGACGAAGTGCACATGCGCGCGTCGTCGCGCGCGCATGCCGAAATCCTTCAAAAGTTTTCGGTGCCGGAAGGATTTCGCAATCGAGTTTCCAAAAAAATACAAAAACATATGGTTTCGTGACACTGCTTTGCTATAAAAGTTTCCGCGCGAGCTCTTGCGAAATCTTGAGAAAACCGTAGTTTTTTCAAGATTTTCACAAAATGCTACCAAACGGGCTTCGCGCGCGCGCATGTCGAAATCTGTCGAACGCCCTTGCGCGTGTGCCGTCGCGAGAATCCTCTGCAAAAAATGGGACGAAGTGCAGACGCGCGCGTCGTCGCGGGCGTATGCCGAAAACCTTCAAAGCCCATCGGTTTCGGAAGGATTTCAAAATCGTGCGTCCAAAAACCTACAAAAACCCAAGGTTTCGCAACACGGATTTTCAACAAAAACGTCGTGTCGTCGTCGTCGTCCTCTTTGCGTCGTCGTCCGTCGTCGTTGTCGCCGTGGTCGTCCTTCCTCCCTCGTCGTCGTCGTCGTCCGTCGTCGGCGTCTCGTCGTCGTCCCCTACGTCGTCTTCCCTCCTCCCTCGTCGTTGTCGTCGTCGGCGTCGCCGTCCTTCCTCCTTCGTCGTCGTTCGCGTCGTCGCCGTCCTCCCTCCTCCCTCGTCGTTGTCGTCGTTGTCGTCGTTGTCGCCGTCGTCGTCCTTCCTCCTCCCTCGTCGTCGCATTCGTTGGCGTCGTCGTTGTCGTCTTCGTCGTCGTCGGCGTCGGCGTCGTTGTCGTCGTCGAAGTCGTCGGAGACGTCGTCGGTGTCGTCCTAGTCGTTGTCGTCGGTGTCGCCGTAGTCGGTCTTAACAGGTTTTGCAAATCAAGTTGCGGGTGGGTGGGTGGGATGTTTGCGCGAGCAGTGGAGATGACGTCTTCAAGTTCAGCAGAGTGGATTGCACCACATAGTTTGCACCACATGTATTGCACCACATAGATTTCCTTTTCCAAAAGAGATCATACTCCACCCCCTCACCGAGAACAGACTGAACCCCACACCCTCGCGTACTGCAATGTGCATGTGATTACGCCTCCTCGTTAGTTTCCCATGTAAATTCGTATCGACCCCCACCCCCACCCCCCTGCCATCCCTGTCAAGTAACATTGTGCGCGCGCATTTTTCATCTTCAAAGATTTGTTTCAAAAACCCCTTTGCAAACAAATTGACGAAGTGCACACGCTCGCGTCGTCGCGCACGCATGCCGAAATCCTTCAAAAACCGTTGGCGTCGTAAGGATTTCAAAATCCAGCGTCCCATAAACATGCTAAAAGCAATGGCTTCGCAACAGGATGGTCAAAAAAGCCTGCGCGCGTTCTTGCGGAAAAAACAATAGGTTGCTTCAACAGTTTCATCAAATGCGACCCTCGCGCTTGCATGTCGAAATCATTGGAACGCCCTTGCGAGCATGTTGTCGCAAGAATAGATTGCAACGAATAAGAAGAACTGCACACGCGCGCGTCGTCGCGCGCGCATGCCGAAATTCTTCGAAAACCTCCGGTGCCGTAATGGTTTCGTAACAGGAATGTCTGCTTGTTGTTACGAACAAAGAAATGTCGTTCGTGCTCTTGCGAGTTCTTAAGGAGACATCGGTTATTGCTTTGTTTGTTCTATCAAATTCGACCAAACTGACCTCTCGCGCGCGCATGTCGAAGTCAGTCGAACGCCCTTGCGCGCGTGTTGGGGGGCACGACCCCTGCCAAGTAACACCATGCGAGCCAACCGCGCCCGTCGGCCGTGCGCGCATGTCGAATTCCTTCCATAACCTTCATCACCGAAACGTGGACACCATTATCGTCATCGGCGTGATCAGCATCGGCGCCGTCATTGGCCTTGCCATCATCATCGTCACAGGCGTCGCTATACTCATCATTATGTCTGCAGTTGTCGACGGCGCCATGATACCGCGCCCGCCCGAGTCACCAACTCGCATTGCAGTGCCCGCGAGTCAGCGCGGCCTGCGATGCGCGCTGGTAAGTTCCCAGCGGTTAGCGCCACCGCGGCTGCGCCGGTCGCGCCAGACGAGCTGGGCGTTCTACGCGCGAGCCTGCACGCATTAGCGCGGCCGCAGCGATGCGCCAGCCAGCGCCAAACAGTCATCGCAGTCGCTGCCGCATGGATTCTGCAAACCAAGTTGCGGGTGGGTGGGTGGGATGATTGCACGAGCAGTGGAGTTGACAACTGCAAGTTCGGCAGGGCGAAGTGCACCGCATTGCTTGCACCAGCTATACTGGGAGAAAGCAGTGTTAGGGGCCCACGCAGGTATCGTACATGTGTATGTGTGTAAGTGTACAAACACATAAATATGTGCATATACTGTTATATAGTGCACGCCGTGGCTTCGCCCGAAAGACTGCGCCACCGACGTGTCCCTCTATTTGTATGTGCATGAACAGCACGTTGTGCTTTGCATGACGCAGGCCACACCACACACACAGATTGCAGCACAAAGGTTGCACATGTAGAGTGCAAGATCCCATGGCTTGGGGCCCACGCTGGCGAACACCTGACCGTATGATTCCAATGATAATGGCGTATCGCGCTTCTACCGGCGCGAAATCGCAAGCTGGTTGCCCGAGGTATCCGGGGTTGCTCGCGGCCAATCACGTGGAGCATTTCTGCCCAGACGAGCTGGGGCTGGTCCACAGCATTTTCGCGTTCGAGCAGGACGACAAGGTCTGTAACGCCTCATCCTTCCTCCTTATCCTCCTCGTCTGTCGCTCGCCTCGTTTGAGTCCCTCGGGCCCCTCGCGTGGCCGACTTTCTTCGGTCGGGCATATTTTGCCTCGGCCCACTGCTCGATCGCGGCGTGGCCGCTGAGTCAGCAAAGGTCTTTCGCCAGCCTCTCTTCGAATGGGTCGGCGCGCCCCAGGCTCCTCATCCCCCTCCTCCTCGTTTCGTTTCCGAGCAGCTTGGGACGTGCGCCTACGGGAAGAGACATGCATGGCGGAGGCACAAGGAAACGGACAGTTCACGGGTGGACCCTCCTTCAGAGGACTTCAGTGCCGCAGCAGCGCCCCCATGGCTCACTGGACAGAGAGAGACGAGAAGAGGGGACAGACTTATGGTTCAAGCGGGCCTCAGACGCTTCCAAAGTCAACGGGTCTTCCAGTTGACCAGCTGGAGCGTCAGCGGGGTCTGGCCTCTGGCCTTTTCTGGCTCGCTCGTGGACGTCCTTGGCGTCCTTCCGATCAAGGCCCGTAATGACATCGTCCAGCAATTTTCTGAAAGTCGCCAGAAGGACAGAACGGCAGTTTTCCGAACGTTCCTCCAAATGGGTCACCACTCTCACGCGAGATCGGAAAAGCTGCGTGCACACAGGACAAGGCATGATATCGATCACGTCGCGCGTGCGGCGCCTCACACCATGCACCGAAAAAGCATGGGTGGTCAGTTCCTGCCTCGAGTCACAAGTGTACGAACAAGAATGGCACGAGAACGTGTTGCTCACTTCGGCCATCCCCCGGGTTTTGCCCCAAGTCCTCCTCCTCCTCGTCCTCCTCCCCCGCCTCCTCTACATCCTCCTCGTCCACATCCTTCTCCTCCTCCTCGTCCGCATCCTCCTCCTCCTCCTCCTCCTCCTCCTCCTCCTCCTCCTCCTCCTCCTCATCATCATCATCATTATCATCATCATCATCCCACCACCACCTTCACCACCACCACCATCATCCTCCTTATGATCCTTCCCTGAGATACGACGTTGCGAAAAGGTTGCAAGATCGTGAAAATCACGAGCCCTAGGCCCTTCTCTCCTTGCGGCATGCTGCAGCCAGTCGATCGACTGTTGGAAGATTTCGGGAAACCAAGATTGGATTGCGGCATTTCGTTGCCGTTTTCAATACATGCTCCGCGTGCGGGTCATGTATTAAAGACGCAGGAATTTTGTACAAAAACAACGATGAGTTCATGCATAAATTCATTCATCAATTAATCATGCATTAGAATCCTATGTTTTTAAGAATCCTATGTTTAAGAAATTGCCCTGGATGTAATGACCCTGGGGCCCGAGACAGGGCGACAACGCCCGTTGTGAGAAGTTGCGATGCCAGGCTCTCAGGGTCCTCCTCCTCCTGCAGCAAAGGCGCTCCTCCCCAGACCTCTCCCGAGGTACGCTCCGACTAGCATTTCGAGGCGAACCCAGCGGTGTCGACGAGTGCCTCCCAGGAGGCCCAAAAGAGCTAGAACGAGGCAAAGGTAGCAGTATCGGTACTTGTTCCTCCTCCGGTGTTCCACCCGCGACCATTTCTGGGAAGTGGCATTCCGTCCGGATCTGTCCAGCGAGGTACAAGCCCGTTGTGGCATGACGTTCTCTTTTTATTTATTTGACGACAGCACAGCGCATTGGCACCTGAGTAGCGTCGCGCCACAAATATGGCCTTCGAAGCGAGCCTTAACGGGTACACGACGCGGGTGCACCCGCCCAGAGAGTTAATCCAGTCGTGCCTAGAGTTTTTCCAGCACGCTCTGGCAGCTGACCGTGAATGCCGCACTGTGATGCGAATGCAAGAGGACACAATGGTCCCTGGTTCCGCTCTACAGTCGGTGCGCTGAAGAAGGAACCCTTGTCGTTGTGGAGGGGCTCCGTGTTCCTTAATTGTTTCACAGCTTGCCTCAGGGTTTCCTTATGTTTTCGATGGGAAATCGAAGTTTAATGTATGGAAAAAAGGGGCCTCGTTCCTTATTTAGGGTTCCTTAGGTCAACGCCCCGACTGTACTCATCTGGCTCGCTGCACCCGCATCCATGCCTGGGACGCAGGGAGCGACCTGTTTCGATGGGTCGACGAGGCCGGCTCGACACGACGTGGCCCGCGGTCGGACGCATTGAGTGCGTTGTACTCCAGAGTTGGGCTTCTCACGACAAGCGGGGAGAGAAGAACAGAACTCATCCTCCTCGCAGCAAGGTCGCCGGCGACTTCTCTCCCCCAGTCCCCGAGTTCTGACCAAAAATGAGGCCGCTCAGGAAAGGGGGGACAATCTCGGCTACACCCCGGGGAGGCTATTCGGACGCACCCTTATCGAGGATGGACGCCCTCCACCCCCCCATCGTACATCCCCGAGTTGGGTCCCAAATGTTGCGTCTGATCGCAAACACCACGTAGTCTAAGATTGGTGTCTTCGTACTCCCCGTTGCAAGGTCCAGTACGTCCGCGACATGGCCCTCCTGCAGGGCCAGCAGAACCGGCAGCCCGGGGCCACCGTATACGCGCCCGACGGGAGCCCGTGCGCCTGCGGCGAGCGGGCGGCTTTGCTGCACGTGCCGTCCACGATGAAGCTGTGGCCATTTCGTGTCGGACGAAGAGCGGGGATTTGTCGGCGACCACAAGAGGGGAACGAACAATGACATAAACATGAACAAGTCTGAGGTCCGCGCGGATTTCTCGGATCGGCGCTGGACCCCCTCCCTGGCGCGCTCCGCGAGCCAGGGGCGGCGCCGGAGGCGCTGCCAGTGCGGTCCAGCGCCGATCCGAGAAATCCGCGCGGACCTCCGAGTTTTTATGTTGATGTCGTCGTTCGTTCCCCTACACAAAGGGTGTGGTCATGCCGGGGTGTGGTCTGCGATCGGCGCCGTTGGGGCTCAGGGGTCACCACGCTGCGCCAAAAGGTGTGAGGAGCCCTCGTCGGGGAGCGGCAGAGATCTCTGTCGAGTTCCTCGCCCGCCCCCCAGGGTGCGCGGTGCAAACCACACCTTTGCAAACCACCCCCTTCGGAGTCGCCGAATTCGGAAAGGGGCAACGTTTGGGGGGGATGGCCAGGCAGGCCTTAGGATGAGGACGGTCCGCTTCAGAGTTTCCTGGACCGCTCCCAGCGCGGAGCGTTCCAGAGCGCTCCGAAGCGGCCGCGGCGCGCCCGATGCATGTTCCAGGCCCGCCAGCTCAGCCTCATCCGAGGTGGTCATCAGCCCGGCCTCGCCTTGGGGCTCGAAGTCTGAGGTTCGAGGGCGTTTCGGGAGGCGCTCCAGCGGCCGCGCCCCCCCCCCCCCGAGAGCGTTCTGGGGGCGCCCGGGTCGTCTCGAGCGGCCGCGGAGGGCCCGAGTTATCGAGGCGGGACAGGACATCCGCCCTGACGTGCCTCCGCGCCTCTGCTCTGGGCCTCCTCCCCCTCCTCCCCCCACTCCTCCTCCCCCTCCCCCTCCTCCTCCCCCTCCCCCTCCTCCTCCCCCTCCTCCTCCTCATCCCCCTCCTCCTCCTCCTCCTCCTCCCTCCTCCTCCTCTTCCTCCTCCTCCTCCTCCTCCTTTTCCTCCTCCTCCTCCTCCTCCTCCTCCTCCTCCTCCTCCTCCTCCTCCTCCTCCTCCTCCTGTTCCTCCCTGACACGTCGACTTTAGTGAATTGCCCGTGTTCGGGTTCTCGAGAGGGTGCCGCGGCCGTCATTTTCCAAGCTTGCGCCCGCCAGGTCTGGGCCCGAGGTCGTTGTCACTGAACCACGTTTTGCTAAAGGGGGTTCTGTTCATCCCCGAAGTGAGGGCTCGCAAATGTCTCAGACAGGCAAGTTGTGCACAATACTTGTTTTTTTTTGGCTGGGTGCCATCTGCTGGGCCCTGGGGTCCTAGACTGGCAGTTGGCGCCCCTCTTGACCCAGATTGCTTGCGCCAATGCTTGAACCAGGGCTGGACCTGAACGGTGTGTTTGCGATTTCGTGGGCCGTTTTCGTTTCGATTTCGTTTTGCTGTAAAGGCGGACTGGAGACAAAACGAAGGAACACGAAAACAAAACGAGAACGAAACACACCGTTTAGGTTCAGCCCTGGCTCGAACCACGTTTTACAAGAGGGTGCGGTAAAGGTGGATTGAAGACAAAACGAAGGAAAACGAAAACAAAACAAGAACGAAAAACACCGTTTAGGTTCAGCCCTGGCTCGAACCACGTTTTACGAGAGGGGGCTCCGTCCATCCCCGAAGATTGGACCCGAAAGCCAGACGACGAGGACCGTCGGCCCAGGTGGGGCGCATCGACCCCCCAATCGCCCAGCCATCGCCTAGGTCGGGCCTGTCCCTCCCTCTACAGGAGAAATCTCCAAGAATGGTCCAGAAAATAGTCTGGGGACGATGTTTTAAGTTATTTGTCCCCTTGTGTGTGTTTAATATGTCGCCCCAAATTTCGGGAGCGGCCAAGAGGGGGGTGTCCAAGAGGGGGGGGTGCAAATCATGACCGGCGGCATGTGCGCGGCCCAGCGGGGGGCCATGGACGTAATGAAATAAGAAGAGGCGCCATGAAATTTGGGGAAACATCATGACCTGCACAGTCGATGCACTGCAGGAGAAAAAAAAAAAAAGACACAATGAATCGTCGGTCCCCAAGAAAATATGGGAAAATGTGGGAAGTGGGCGGGAGGACAAAAACCCAGGAAATATAGAAGAAGATGGGCAATCTTTTTATTTGCGTGTAGTTATTCGTGTGTCCCAGGGCCCCTTCAGCACTGCTGGTTCCAGGCTTGGGTCGGGCACGTCCATGTGCAGGAGGAACATGCCGAAATTGCACCAAAAAATTGTCCGTGGGCGATTTCTCTGTTGTTTTTTATACTATGTGTGGATCTGTAGTGGCTACTTCCGAACTTTCGTCCAAAACCTGCCTGAAGGAGAACATGCCCGACCTAATTCCAGGTCGATGTTCCCCCCCCTTAGCCGGCCCACCCCGCGGCTCTGCCCCTTCGGGCCCGAGGGTACGAACTGCGTGCAGCTGATTGGCTGACCCCGCCCCCCCTTCTCAAGCAGTAACGAAGCGTCTTGGCGTGCCTATAGTTCTACCAAGCAATGTTCCAAGAACCTTTTGTGGTTTTCACGAAATGTTCTTAGAACATGTCTGGCGTAGCCTGTCTTGTTTTGTTACATCGGGTTTATGTTCTAAGAACATTGTTTTTGTTCTTAGAACATGGTTGGGTTCTAAGAACATTTCGTGGTAGGACTATAGGAATGCCGGGACGGCCAGTCCCTGCTCAACCTTCCCTGCCCCCGCTTGTCGTCCGCCCCGAGCCATGGGTGCACCGCCTCTTCGACCACCACTCCCCGGCCTTTGCGCGGCCCTCTGGGCAAGGCGCCAACTTCAAGCAGCGCAAGGACCGACGCCCCCGATCGGGGGCCCGGGGCAGGAGGGGGGGAGGCGGGACGGGAGAGGCGCGGGAGCGGGCCTGGCCAGGCGCAGGAGAGAGCCGGGGGCAGCAGGAGGAGGAGGCCCGTCGGCGCGGGCGGCCGTCCCGAAAGCGGGCGGGAAGGCCCGCGGAGTGTCAAGAGACCAGCCACGCACGGCGCCCGAGCCTCCGCTTCCGCACAGTGTGCGCATTCTCCTCGGTCTCTGAGCAGCATCAAGGGCCAATCTCTGTGCACGGTGACGCGCTCGGCACGGTCGTTCGTGCTCGTGCTACTCCTGCTGTTTTCTCTTCCTCCTCCTCCTCCTCCTTCTCATTCTCCTCCTCCTTCTCATCCTCTTCCACCTCCTCGCCCTCCTCCTCCTTCTCATCCTCCTCCTCCTCCTTCCCCCGTCCTCGTCTTCGTAACGAGCACTGCTTCTCTGGCGCCTGCCCCTCACGAGTAGCGTCAGCGAGCCTGGTCTTATGACATCGTAGGGCGCCTGGCAGCAGTAGGAGGAGGAGGAGAAGGAGGAGGAGGAGGAGGAGGAGGAGGAGGGCGGAGGAGGGCGGGGGAGGAGGATGGCGGAGGAGGAGGGGGGGAGGGGAGGAGTCCGATGAAGACGCGGGGGAGGAGGTGAGGGACGAGCAGAGGGAGGGGGGGAGGGGGGGGGAGAGATGGGGGGCCACGGAGGATGGGAAGGAAAAGAGAGAGGAGGAGGAGGAGGAGCAGCGATGTCCCCAAGACATGCGACTGTAAGAAAGCTGTGGGATTGCGATGTCGGATGTGTTTGCTGGCGCGTACTCCCTTAGTTTGATATCTGAGCCCTTATTGTGTTACTGCGACCGTCGATTCCATTCCAGACTGGGCCCTATCTGGCCCATGGCACTTTCCTGTAGGAACCACACAGTGCGGGCACACGCGCACTCTCCTTGTTCAGTAATACATGCCTGCCACACGCAAGCTAAACCAGAATAAGAACACATGCTTCTTCACCATATGGTAGAAAGTATCGGTAAAGCCATCGGGTGTTCATTAAAGAGCGTGTTCGTACCCCAGTTGATTGCCATGCTGCGCACGCGCGTGGATCTCATTATCATGCCTCCGCACGGCCCTCATGACGTTCGGGAAGTTTGGCTCACCGTGTCGCGCCGCTGGCTCTGGCCCACCACGCTTCGTCGCGACGCGCTGGCCACGTCCGGGTCCCGAAGCGTCAACGTCCCGAGCGTGTCCCAGCCTCCCGCCCCGCGGAACGCAGCGACACGTTATCCACTCCCACGGCATTGCGTGTCGCCGGGGCCGCCGTCGCGACACGCTAAGCAACAGTTCTCGACAGTAAGTGCCACAACGCGGGACACGCGCGGGCTCTGAGATAATTCCATTTACACGGGCTCTCGGAGCGGACTGGTTACAACGCCTTACACACACACACACATGCATGTGCCTGACGACGCATCCACGCCTGTGGGAGGGCACAAAAAGAACAAAGAGAAGGGATGATTGAACGACTACAAAGTGAACAGGGTTGGGCGGGCATGATCAGTCAGCATCGTCGCAACAGGTTGAGCTTCAACCCTTCCAAAGAATGCCATTGACCTCAATCTAGACTAGACCACATCCTGTCAGGGCACTTGCCTTGTGAAAATTACAAAATGCGGGACATTCGTGCGCATTGGGCCTCACAAAGAATACTATGCGGCCCACGTGCGCGCGTTGAACGGGCACCAATCTCGCAAATGAGTGCAAAGCGAATCACTCGCACGATGAACGGGCACAGCTTCTGTCAAAGAAGGCCTTGCGGGCCACGCGCGCGCGCGCGCCAATCCCGATCAACGCCATGAACTGGATTTGCGCATGAGTTCATCCGTAAGGGCTTCGCCCTCCGCCGCCTGCCTCTGCCTCTGGGAGATGCCAGAGCTGTGCTGGGACGCGCAGGCGCCGTTTTGAGAACCTCTGGGCACATCATGCGGAGCGATCGGCCCGCAGCGAGTGCCCGGAGATGTTGGAGCTGGCGTGGCGCGCCTCGTCGCCTCTCCCCTCGGCGCGCCGCTGGCGCAGTACTGCCCGGGGGCGCGGGGCCTCGGAGGCGCGAGCCGGGCGGAGCCGATGGGGGAGTGGGTCTTTGGGGGAAGTGGTCGAGAGGTCAGGGGTTCGTGCCTAGAACAAGTCGAAGCGCTGGATGTTTGGGTCTGGAGTGTCACCCGAGAGCCTGCTGGGCGTCTTGGGGCCATCTCTGGGGAGGGAGGAGAGGCGGGTTCTCTCCTAGACGTAAGAGTGACCTTTCTCCGGAGTGACCTTTGGTGCGGGCACAGATGGGCCCCCAGATGGCTGAACGCGAAGCGCTAGCAGCGGCTAGCGAGCCTGGATCTGGCCTCCCCGCGGCCCCCCCAGAGCCGCGCACCGAAGGTCACTCTTACCCAGGGTCACTCTTACGTGTAGCCGAACAGCGAAATTGGCGCAATGGGAAAAAGGATTCTGGCCGCGGGCGCGCAAAGTCCGGCGCAACCCTGCCAGGGATATCTGGCCTCGGGAGCGCGAATTTGGCGCAATCACCACGGGTTTTGGCCGCGTGAGCACGAAGGTTGTAAGGGACTCTGGCTTCGGGGGCGCGAACCTGGCGTAATGTACGAAGGGCTCTGGCCGCGGGAGCCCGAATCTGGCGCCATGCACAGAGGATTCTCATCTCGGGGGCACGACTCCGCAGTAATTCGCAAGGGATTCAGCTTCTGGGAGCGCGGATCTGAAGTAGTTTTCACCAGGGGGTCCAGCCTCGGGGGCGCAAGCCTGGCGTAATTTACGATGGATTCGGGCCCTGGCGGATCTGGGCTGCGTATGCCATCCTTGTCGGCCTGTCGGTGCAGCTTTTCTGCAAGGCTTGTGGGGTTGATCATTCCGCTGGCTGGCACAGATGGGGAGAAGGGGGAGGAGGACGATGAGGACCCAGCCGTTGCGCTGGAGGTCCCTCGCAGTTTTCGGCTGCTGGGAGCCGTTCGGAGCCCCGGGGCTGTCAAGCGGTGGCTCAGGCTGAACAGTAAGTTCCCGAGACGGGCTCAAAAGATCCAGGGGCAGGCGAGTCGAAAAAGCTAAAGGCCTGGGGGCGATGATGATCATGATGCTGATACTGATGGTAATGATAAGGATCATGCTAATGATTTTGGTGATGGTGATGCTGGTGACGACGAATATGGTGATGGTGATGATGGTGGTGGTGATGATAGCGATGATGGTGGTGATGATGATGATGATGATGATGATGATGATGTTGCTGATGCTGATGCTGATGCTGATGCTGGTAATGTTGATACTGATGCTGATTATGATGATAGTGATGGTGATGGTGATGACGATGCTGATGCTGATGGTGGTGATGATGATGATGGTGATGATGATGATGACTGTGATGACGATGATGATGACGACGATGGAAATGATGATGATGACGATGACGACGATGATGGTGATGATGATGGTGATGATGATGATGGTGATGACGATTATTTCGATGATGAGTATGATGCTGATGATGGCGATGGTGGTGGTGGTGGTGACGGCGGGGACGACGACGACGATGATGATGTTGATGGTGATGGTGATGATGATGATTGTGATAGTGATGATGATGGCGTTGATGATGATGATAATGATGATGATGTTGATGATGATGCTGATGAATATGATGCTGCTGCTGATGATGATGGTTGGGGAGGAGGACGGAGGTCCAGAGCAAAGCCAGCTTGCACGACTAATGCTGCAATGCACCCTTATGTGCCAAGCCCCCTCCTCGTGAGTCAGCACGAGTTGTTGTTTCCGTGCCGTTGGGGCTCAAGAGCACACTTTCCGACTAAGCAACGGGCCTTGTTCGTTCAGAAGGTGTCGATGGGCCTTGTCGACCACATGTTTCTCATATCGAAGACGTCTACGGCGAATCAACGCCGCCCCCTGCCTTTTTGGAATCGCCCATGTGGCCGAGCGTTGTGGCAAGAGCCCTGCCAAGCTGTCGGACCACATGCTCCCCCAGCCGTTGTGGAAACCCTTTGGGGAACATTTGGGGGAGGATGGCGGGGAAGATCAGCAGGAGGAGGAGGAGGAGGAGGGGGCATCTTGGGAGCCTCTGGGGACACTCTTGGGGCCTCCTGGGAGCTTCCAGGGACCCCTCTTGGAAGTATCTTGGGGGCCTCCTTGGCCCCTCTTGGAAGCATCTTCGGGGCCTCCTTGGGCCTCTTCGGGGCCTGTGGGGCTTCTCGGGAGCCTCTTCAGCCGTCTTAGGGCATTCCTGGCCCGTGTGAAGCCGTCGGAAGCCGTCTTGGGGACCTCTCTGGGCCGACTTGGGGCCTTCTTGGGATGCTCCAGGGCAGTCTTGAAGGCAATCTTGGGCGTCTTGGAGGCCTCTTAGGCCGTCTTGGGAGCCTCTTGGGCCGTTCTGGGACCATCTTGGAGGCCTCTCGGGTGATCTTGGGACGATATTTGGGAGATCTTGGGCCGTCTCGGGCCTGCGGAAGGCCGAAAAGACGCAACTGTCAAAATCCGTCAACAGCCCAAGGAACATCAATGATGTTGGCCTCGTCGGGCCTTCCTGGAGGCCCTCTCGGGGGCCTCTTGAGCCGTCTTGGAGACCTCTTGGGGGCCTCTTGGGCCGTCTAGGGCCATATTAAAGCCATGTTGGGCAATCTTGATGGCCTCCTGGCCCGTCTGACGCCGTCGGAAGCCGTCTTGGGGACCTCTCTGGGCCGACTTAGGACCCTCTTGGGTTACTTCTGAGCCGTCTTGGAGGCCCTCTTGGGGCCGTCTTGAACACATTGGGCAGTTTTGGTGCCCTCTTGGGGCCATCTTGGGGGCCTCTTGGGCCGTTCCGGGGCCATTTTGGAGGCCTCTTGGGCGATCATGGGGCGATCTTTGGGGGCTCTGGGGCAGTTCCGGGCCGTCAGAAGGCCGAAAAGAAGCACATGCCACAATCCGTCAAAAACCCAAGGATAATCAATGAATTGGGCCTCTTCGGGC